AGCAACTATTTTTTTAAAATATATTTTTATTGATTTCAGAGAGGAAGGGAGAGGGAGAGATAGAAACGTCAATGATGAGAGAAAATCATTGATAGGCTGCCTTCTGCAACACCCCACCCTGGGGATCAAGCCTGTAACCTAGGCATGTGCCCTGACTGGGAATTGAACCGTGACCTCCTGGTTCATAGGCTGATGTTCAACCACTGAACCACCCTGGCCAGGCAAAAGCAACCAGTATTTTGCTATCTAATCCCATAGATGAGTTTTCTCTCTTCTTGACCTTCACAGAAGTGGAATCATACAGTATAATCTTCCGTGTCTGGCTTCTTTTGTTCAACATAATGTTTTTGAAATTCATCCACTCTGTTGTGGGAATTACTAGTTCATTCCTTATTAATGAGCAGCATTCCATTTTATGAATATACCATAATTTATTTATCCGTTTCCTTGCTGATGGACATCTGAGTTCTTTTTGATGTTTTGCCATTATGAATAAAGTTGCAATGAATATTCTTATACAAATATTACTTTTGGGTATATGTTTACATTTCTTTGCAGCAAATACCTAGGAGTGAAATGACTGAATCAAAAGGTTTGTCTACATTTTACTTTGTAAGAAACGCGTAAATACTTTTCCACCGTCGTTGAAAGTTTACATTGCCCCCAGCAACATATAAGATATTCAGTAGCTCCCTATCCTTACCAACACTTGTCATTCTTCTTCATTTTAGCCATTCAGGGTGCGTTAAGTGCTATCTCACTGATGTCAAAGATGTTAAGCATGTTTTCACGCTTAAATCAATTTCCACATTTAATTTCTTTTTGTTCTTTTCATTATTGACTTAAGTTCTTTATATATTCTGGATATGAGTCCTTTGTTTAATATCTATATATATAAAACTCTAATATGCAAATAGACCAAACGGTGGAACAATTGAACAATTGAACAACTGAACAACTGAACAATCAGTCACTGTGATGTGCGCTGACCACCAGGGGGCACACGTGGAACATGGCTGGCATCGGCAGCAGGCGGCAGAGCATGGAACATGGCGAGCATTGGCCCCGGCAAGATGGTGGAGCAGGTGAGCAGGGGCACCAAACCAAGGCAGGGCTCTGGTTTCTATCATCGGGGCGAGCCTCTGGTGGTTACTGAAAATTCTTTGCTCCCATGCGCTGCGGTCCCGCCAGGCGCTTGCACCTGTTGCTGGTGCTGGCCCTGCTCACACCCACTGTCAGCGCTGGAGCCGCCACTCGCTCCCACTACCGATGCCTGGCGCTGGCCCTGATCGCTCGGTGCTGTCAGAAGGTGTGAATGGCAGCTGCCGCCCTGATCGCCCCTGAGGGTTTCTCCACCTCCCCCTGACCCTGAGGGATGATCAGGGCAGCAGCCGCTGCTCACACCCACTGCTGGTGTCAGCCCCAATTGCTCTGCGCTGGCAGCAGGTGCAAGCAGGGCTGGCGCCATCAGCGCATGGGAGCGGCAACAACAGGAGTGGGGCTGCCAGCACACAGGGAATAGTAGCTGTAGCGGGAGGGACCGGGTGGGGGTGCAGAGGATGGGCCGAGATCTGCCCCTGTGCCCACTGCAGCCTCGCAGCCCACAGTTCCTTTCAAGGTGTATGAATTCATGCACTGGGCCCCTAGTATATTATCAAATATATATCCTATATAATAAAAGCCTAATATGCAAATTGTCCCCTCGACCAGGAGTTCGACTGGGAGTTTGACCGCTCACTATGATGTGCATTGACCACTAGGGGGAGGCGTGGAGCACAGCCGGCGATGGCGACACAGCACTGGCAGTGGGCTGCAGTGGAGGTGCTGCCAGCTCTAATGGGCCCCAACGAGAGCGGGACTGCGGCGGGATGGTGGAGCAGGTGAGGGGGCGGCACCATGCCAAGGTAGGTGCGAGTGAGGTCCAATCGTTCCACCGATCGCCCCACAGATGGAGACCAGCAGCAGCGGCGGTGGGTGGGGCTGTTTCCCAGCTCCCAGGCACTGAGTGAGCCAGGAGGGGGGACCCAATGATTCAGGTGGAGGGGGGCGGGTAGGGGCCCTGGGGCCCAGGTGTTGCCCAGAGCCCAGAGGTCAGCTGGGACTTGCCCTTCTATGCCAGATGCTCACGCTTCAATTGCCGGCCAGGCCTAGGGACTGCACCCGTGCATGAATTTTGTGCACCAGGCCTCTACTCTGTGTGTGTGTGTGTGTGTGTGTGTGTGTGTGTGTGTGTGTATTCCCCAGTTTGTGGCTTACCTTTTTCATTTTTAACATGAAAGTTTTAAATTTTGACAGAGGCCAATTTATTACTTTTACTGTGTGTATATTGCCTTTTGCATTCTGCTTTCTCAGATTACAAAAATATCCTCACATATTTTCTTCTACAAACTTTATACTTTTAGCTCTTACATTTCAGTTTGAAATTTATTTTAACTTATTTCTTATGTATAGTGTGAGGTCACTGTTTACTATTTTTTTCATTATGGATATCCTGTTGATCTAGTACCATTTATTAAAAAGACTTTCCTATCCCCCATTGTCATAATTATTCACCAAACAATTTGAATGTATATTTGTAGATCTATTTTCATTATTTCCTCATTAGACAATATGTTAGTTATATGGTTTTCATAGATAACCTTTATCAGATTGAGAGATCTACCTTCTTTATTGTGAATGGACATTGAATTTTGCCTAATGCTTTTGCTGCATCTATTGAGATGACCATATAAGTTTCTGCTTTACCAAGCTTGCATTCTTAAGGTAAATTTCACTTATCCACGATAAGTATCCTTTTTAATATATTGCTGCATTGTGACTACTAATATGTTGAAAAACTGTGTAGTTTGGTGTTATTCCTTTTTAAAATCTTGGTAGAATTCACAGTGAAGCCATCTAGGCCAGGGTTTGTTTTTTTTCTTGTTGTTTAAATGGGCTGGTCTTTAGTTATGAATTAAATTTCTTAGCAAATTTAGAGCTATTCAGATTGTCCATTTCTTTTTGTGTCTATATTGGGAAATTATGGGTTTTTCAAGTAATTTTCCCATTTATCTACATTGACATATTTGTTGGAATAACATTTTCATAATTTTAATGTTGCCTGGCCAGTGTTGCTCAGTGGTTGACCATTGACCTATGAACAAGGATGTCAGGGTTCAATTCCCAGTAAGTGCACATGCCCAGGTTGCAGGCTCAATCCCAGTAGGGGGTGTGCAGGAGGCAGCCAATCAATGATTCTTTCTCATCATTGATGTTTCTCTCTCTCTGCCTTTCTCTCTCTGAAATAAATATAAATATATATTTTTAAAAAGAAAAAATAATTTCAATGTCTGTGGGATATGTAATGTCTGTGATGATATCCCCTCTTGCATTTTTAGTATTGGTTTTTAGTACTTATGTTTTCCCTTTTTTGTATGATCATTCTTGCTAGGAATTATGAATTTTCTTAATCTTTTCAAAGAACTCACTTTTGGCTTTGTTAGATTATGTCTCCATATTGTGCTCTACTTTGTCAATTTTTACTCTTATGTTTATTATTTCCTTCCTTATACTTCATTAGTGTTTACTCTTGTTTTTCTAGCTTCTTAATGAAGAAGCTTAAATCATTGACTTTTCATTTTCCTTTTTTTTATTATAAACATTTAAAGCTATGAATTTCTCTCTTAGCACATCATCAACTTTACTGTTCCAATTTTGATATGTTGTATTTTCATTGTCATTCCATCAAATATACTTTCTAATGTCTTTTTGAATTCTTCTTTGATGCGTGGATTATTTAGAAGTGTGTTCCCTAATTTCCAAACTTCTATTGATTTTCTAGATATATTTTTGTTACTAATTTTTATTTTAATGCTGTGGTGGTCAAAAAAATGCATTCTGGATTATTTCAATCTTTTAAAATATATTTAAACTTGTCTTATGTAGGATTGGTCTAGTTGGTGAATTTTCCAAGTGCACTAGCAGGAATGTGTGTTTTGTAGCTGCCTATGTAGTAGTCAAAGTCTTCCAAAGTTTCATCATTTCCTTCTGGGAATCTGTCCTTAACCCCTACCCCACCCCGCCAAAGTCAATGCTATGGTTGTACAGTATTTTCTTCTGACCTTGTTAACTATAGTATGGTACCCACACTACACCCGGTATCGTCCTGCTCCCCTAGAGTCTCTCAGGTCTCCATTTGATGAGCAAACTGGAGATAAAGCTGCTGAAGTAATGTGGGGTCATGCATTGCTTGTCAAAAAAGACGAGATAACAATATAGGCTTCCTTTTCAGTCTCTTTTATTTCATTCTTCATATGATATTGTGGTGACTAATTTGAGAGTTCAATTAGGGGGAAGGAGAGAGTGCAACCAGGACAGATATTGTCATTGTATGCATGACATCAGCCATAAATCCCTGTGAAGTCCCCCCTCTCTGGCTCAGGACGTGGTTTAGATGGTATGTGAGATGATTGTTTCTATGCACAGTGATTTTTTATAGTTAATATATATGTACTAGAAAATGTGCTTTACAAACAATATAACCTTCCTTTTCAACCTATGCTTTATAGACGCGGCACACTTAAATTTTGGAAATTAGTTGATTTAAAATAAAAGACTAAGTAAATGAAAATATAGGGGTTTCATCCAGATGCTTAAATGTGTCAACATGAAACACAATTATGAGGTTTAGGCAAACTGGTGTGATCACTGCTACAGAGTCAACATCTGCTACTGCAACGATGTGAACAAAATCTCGCCGCCTTGAAATTATCCTAAGTCCTTCAAGGACCCTTCCTCCTGAGGGTTGAGACCCGGCAGAGAGAGCAGCACACAATTAACAGTGTAGCCGGAGGAAGCAAACATTGCATCTTACAATATTTGGCTTCCTTGTTCCAAAGGCAGTTGCTTGGGATGGGACCTGGAGCAGCTCAACGGGAAGTGATTTGGGAAAAGAAGTCATTCGAGCCCTTGGTTTCCTAGGCTCTCCTCCCTCCCCCGCGTTCAGCACACAGGACACTCACCTTTTCCCACTCTCGGTCCTTGTTCAGCACAATCACCACCAGCCTGGGGTGCACCTGGTAGCCCTCCTCAGTGAAGGACAGGTCTTTGCCGTCCCATGTCACATTGACCATAAATCTAGAAAGAGGAAGAGAGAAAGACAATGTTTTTAAGGGAAGAAGAAGACAGGTGTGAAACCAATGAGTGGATGCCACCATCAGGGTAACAGTGAAAAAGCGTACACTCACGACGCCATCCCCATCTCAAGCAGCCTCCGTGTGTGGAAGGATTAGTACCCATGCCGGCACTGCCCCCTGACCAGGCGCTTTTCCATGAGCCTATACTCATTCTCAGAATGCCCAATCCTGTACAGGCTTTAGTGACTGACTGTAATTAGCACATGAATGGAGTCTTTCTGTCCTGCCAGATCCATATACCTTGTTCAAATGACCTTAAAAAAGGTTCTGAAAGCATGTTCTATCGTGTTTTAACAAGCTTCCCTAAAGGAAACTCATAAACCACATGACCCACAACTTCAAAGACATAATTTCCCCTCCATTCATTATTCATTCAACTAATATTTATTAAACATTTGCTACATGCCAGGACTTAGCTAATTGGCTGGGAATAAATAAGGAAACAGACATGATCACTCTCCTCATGAAGCTTATAGTCTAAGGCCGTGGTCGGCAAACTGCGGCTCGTGAGCCACATGCGTCTCTTTGGCCCCTTGAGTGTGGCTCTTCCTAAGCCTTAGGAGTACCCTAATTAAGTTAATAACAATGTACCTAACTATATAGTTTAAGTTGAAAAAATTTGGCTCTCAACAGAAATTTCAATCGTTGTACTGTTGATATTTGGCTCTGTTGACTAATGAGTTTGCCGACCACTGGCCTAAGGGAAAGTATAGGCATTAATTGAGTAATTACAGATCTATGTCAGCGGTACAATGGCAAGATGGGCGTGCTAGGTGAAAGTGAAACAAGTCATCAGACAAGACTTCTGTAAGGAAGAGCAGCTGGCCCTGGATGAGTCAGCATTAACTAGAAAAGATGTAAGCATGTTCCAGGCAAAGGGAACATCATGAGCAAAAGCCCTGTGGTAGTGCGTACGAGGGATTGAATGTAAACCTGTGAGGATGAAGCTGAGAGAGACAGGAAAATGCAGGATGTGGGGTGACTGAGATGATGCAAACAATGCAAAGCTTTTCAGGCCATGTTAAGGCGTTCCATCTAGTTTTAAAATAATGGAAGACAATGAAAGTTTTAATTAGGAAGGTGATATAATCAGACTTTCCTTGTATAACATGACTTGAAGGCTGTGTACAGAATGGATTTGAAGGGGACCAGAGTGCATATAGAGGGCTTGGTTACTGTGTACTTATTAGCCACGTTAGATTTGATATTGGCTTTGATCCTGTTGTGGCCCTGAAGAAAGAGAAGGGAGAGTAAGAGCAGCAACCAATAGGACCAAGTGGAGGTATTTGGTGATGGATTAGATGTGAGGGCAAGGGAAATAGGTTATTAAGGACAATGCCTCAGTATCTTTCTTATATAATATCTCTGCAGTCAGCTTTTGGCATAGGTATTTTCATTGCAGGTGGCATCTGTCTGTCTTACAACACTCTTATCGCCACCACTCCTCAAAGCCACCTCGCCTGCAGTAAGGTTGACTCAGATGGGGAGACAAGGAAGGGCTCATCTCCCAGCCTTTGGGTTGGGAGTCCCCAAAGGTTCACATTTTCTTGCAACTTGAGAAAAATGTAATGTTGGCAAAGACTTCCACAAAAACACACCACTAAGCAGACACTCAATGAATAAAGTATGTTGGATTGAAGCATTCAAACACTTCCCAGACAGACGCAGTATCTCAAAGTCATAGCATTTTCTTGGTCTATATTCTTTTGACACTAAAAGTAGATAAAGTCGTAAAATATTAAAGAGGAATACTAGACTACAGAAAAATTCCAAAAAGACAGATCGACCTAACTGTCTGCCCTAGGCCGTCCTGCTGCGGAAGATCTGGCTGTGTTGTGTGTGTGTAGGGGGGAGAATCAGTTCTCCAATGGCAAGATGAAGAAACTGGGCAAAGTCAAAGAACAAGGGCTGTGTATCCATTCAATGCACTAGAAGGGTCATTTGGGGGGTGGGTGCGGGGTGTAGGAGATAGGAAAAAAGGGTGAACATCTGTAATACTTTCATCAATAAAGACAAATTTTAAATACATTTTAAAAAATCATGTTTTTAAAGATAAGTTAATGGCATGGAAAAATGCGCTGTATTTAACGTTAATCAAGCAGAAAAGAGGATAAAGATAGGGCTTGTCTGTGCATGGAAATTTTATAGGTACTTTTTATTTTCTTTTGTGTATCTTTGTAGTCTCCAAAGTTATGCAAATACTTTCCATTTTTAACAAAAATACTGTTTTTAGCATAAAGCACTGCTATTTTAGAAACAGCAGCAGAGTAATCACTATTTTATTTGGTACATTTGAGGCATCTCAGATCATTTTCTAGTAAGAACATTTATTGATTCAACAACTATTTACTGAATGTCTATTATGTGTCAGGCCTTATGGTGAGTCCTATAGATAAGAAATAAAAAACACAGTGCCCGTCTGCCCTCTTACCCACATTCTTATAATTCAGTGACACCAATACATAAACAATAATCGCACTAGAATGTTGCTTTTGTACTGATGGACAGTAAGTGTGAGAAGTTGTTAGAACATGGAGAATGACCCCTAACTCAACCTAAGAGATTTAGGGAAGGATTCTTGGGGAATCATGAGGAGTGAAGGGATTGAGGAAAGTCAGGATAAAAGAATTCTGAGCAGGGGAATAATCTTAAGTAAAGAAAAATCAACAAAGGGAGTGACATATGTGAGAGGAAGTAGGGACTAGCTTAGGAAGGTTGACGGGCAGTGGGATTTGTCTGGAGAGAATCTCTGAAGCCAGATCATAAGGGACCTTGGATGACACCCTGAGGGTTTGGATTTTGTTCAGAAGGCTGTGGGGATTCATGAAAGGTTTTAAGGGGAGGTATGATGCACTCAGATGTGTTGCCAATAGAAGCAGAAGTAAAAATGCTTCTTTGCATTTAAAGACAACTTCAACATTTTTGTTTACGGTTAAAAAAACATTCATTATCTCGATAATCAGAGCTGGGTTTTTGTTGTTGTCGTCATTTTATCCTTTGCTGCTTCCTGGCTGTATTTGATGAACTGAATGGATGTGGTCCAGGCAGCACATTTAAGGAGTGTTCCACTTCACACTCCCTTACTGAGACCCTTGAGAAGACAATTTGCATGGATTGGGAATTTGGTCAAGTTCCTCATTATCAGCCAGCTTTCAAAGTACTTACTGGGGTCTAAATTAAGCTATTTCCAAGTTAACTATTTTGGTTTTGTTCCCCATGGTTATTTTTGACTCTATCACATTATCTGGCACACCATTGAGCGGAATGAATGTTTGGTGGTAGAGTGTGTTGATAGATCATCACCAGAAGTGCCATCCATCCATCCACCCATCCATGACCATCAATCCCTCAATACATTCATCCACCCATCTAACAGACATTTTGAATACCTACTATTTATTACACCCCATTACCAAAAACCATGCTAAGAAAATAGTACAAAAATAAGCAAATATACAGAGTGTCCCAAAAACATGTATACACACTTTAACAGCTGATAGCTCAATTAATGTTTCTTTCTTTTCATCCAGACTAAGCTTTGAACAAAGGAAATCCTATATAATAAAAGCCTAATATGCTAAGTGTCCGGTCATCCATTCAGCCAATCAAAGCGTAATAGGCTAATGATATGCTAAGGCTGCTCAACCACTGGCTATGACATGCACTGACCACCAGGGGGCAGACAGTTGACCGGTTGACCAGTTGCTATGATGTGCACTGACCACCAGGGGGCAGACGTTCCAACCAGTAGGTTAGCTTGCTGCTGTTGGGAAGGAGATGGGCAGGACACGCCCTGAAGTCCTCCCAGGAGCCGGCCTCTCCCCCCAGCGAGACCACACTCTTGCACAAATTCGTGCACCAGGCCTCTAGTTCATCATAAAATGCTACTAGAAGTTTGAAACTCAGTTGAAGTACAAACACTGCCTTTATAATTATTCAAAACTGATAACTCACTTAATTTTCATTCCTTTTAAGGTTCAACTGATTTGAAATAATGGGTGAAGCCAGACTAAGCTTTAAACAAAGGAAATTTATCCACTAGACTTTTTTATGGGGATACATAAAACATAAAGTTTACAATATAAAACTGGAAACAGTTGACAAATTAAGGGCACACAAATACCAAATGCAATGATTCTTGACATTTGTGATTCCATTGCTTTGTGTTACTAGCAGTGCCTGGACCAGAATGGCCATGGTTTTGAAAACAGGTGTTGACAAAAAAATTATTCATTTCTGTAGATTCTTTTAAATTTTGAAAATGAACTGTATGTTAATAAACACTAACTTTATAATCATTCAAAGTGTGTACACATTTTTAGGAACACCCTATATATCTGCAACAAATAACTGCAATAAAGAACAGTAAGTGTAGCCCGTGTGGCTCAGTTGGTTGGAGCATAATCCTATGCACCAAAAGGTGGTGGGCTCAATTCCTGGTAAGGCAGGGCACATACCTAGATTTTGGGTTGGTTGGACCATGTGCAGAAAGCAACTGATTGATGTCTCTCTCTTACCTCTCTCTCTCTCTCTCTCTCTCTCTCTCTCTCTCTCTCTCTCTCTCTGTCACACACACATACACACACTTTCTCTCTCCTGCTTCTAAAATCAATTTTAAAAAGAGCAGTAAGTATAAAATTAGATATATGTCCTAAGTAGGCTGGTGAAGCACATAAGGAAATGAGGAAAGAGTGGCCGATGTTTGGATTGTGTCGGGAAGAAGAGCAAGGGCTGGCCAGGTGAACGGCAAGGGGAGGGAAAGGAGATGCACCGCATGGAGAAAACTGCCAAGTCAAAGGCATAGAACCAGGAAACAGGACGGAACTCTGTTCATGGAATTTCAACATAAATATTCAAAGACCACCAGTGTCCTTTCAAAGGCCACAGAACCACGGAACAGGATGGAACTCTGTTCATAGAATTTCAACATAAAGACTCAGA